GATGAACAATTGATGATTCAAGGTTGCTTGCTATTGACAACCGAGGATATCTGGCAATCCTACATTATCACCATAGCTCTAGGAACCAGAAAAGGTCTGATTCAAGCTATATGTTCAAGCCAAATTATCAAGTTCACAAGATTAAAGTTCTTAAAACATAATAAATTCTTACAACAGTGCAGAACTAATAGGAGATGTTAAAAGCCATGGAAAACAAAGTAATTAGTTTAAAATCAACCTTTCCATAACTTGGCATGTTTTCCTCTAGCTTTGATATTAGATCAGGATTTTCCCCCAGGATATCAATGGCGGTAATTGCAGCACTTGCAAGATAAAATATTCCCAAAATTGCTCAATCACTGGCACAAATTAGCAACGTTTGGCAATAAAGATTGAAAATTGGAAAATGCTATTAAGATCATATATATTAAGAAGACTAGGCAACGACTTTGTGGAACTTCCATCAATCAACCATTTGGTTTATTTAATAAATAATAAATGCCCATATATATTTGTACAGCAACACATATCTAGTGATCAATGACCCTTGCACTTCCGGTGCAAAATCCACCTTCTGTTGGTAATGGATGTCGTCCTATGGCAGAGTTATGATATCTATGTTCTCAACCTACAAAAATTAGAAAACTTATAATCAATAGAGAATCAAAAAAACATCATACACATGATTAAGCAGTGAAACACATCAGAACACTGTAGTATTCAGTGAAACCTTTTCCTGAATGACCGAGTACACCAAATAGGTTACTCTCATCTAATAAAACATGAAGGCGATATTTCTCTTTCAATCTGATGATCTCATCCAAAGGAGCCATTAACCAAAATTCTACAAAATTATGATCAATGCATTAGCTCCAGAAAGCAAGGTTAGTTTTCTTGGAGTAAGAAATAAAATGCAGTTGCAAGAAGAAAAGTTAATGGGACTGGATAAGGAATAGGAGTGACAGGACATTACAAAGACATAAATCATTATTACAAGCAAGTTAGAATAATGAACTAACAACATGCTTGTAATAATAAAGGAAATTGCTCTACTGTTCTCCCTATCATATTTTCCTGAACTATAACCTCGTTATTACCAATAGAGCTCTTTTATAACAAAAGAGGATAAGATTTCTGTAATTCCAGCATAATATACCTGATACACAGCTTCAACCACAACATAGCACCACACTTTTTTAATGCGTTTATTCTTTAAAATAATTTTCACAAAAATGTTATGTCATATCATTGTGTCTAAAGTAGACAACAGTGCTCCTAGAAAGGTGGAGACCATTTTGTATTTCACAATGGACTCCCCCATTCCTAGACCTCAAATATAATAGGATATTTATTATGGAAAACAAATTTTTACTTTACAAGAACGATATCAAAAGCAAAGCCTCAAGCCTATTCCAAAGAAGGCGCACAAAAAAGATTCAATAAAAAAGACTATAAAGATCATCAGCCCCCACCCAACCTCCTCCATAGCCCCCCTTCATTTTTTTGTAACTTTAGTCTTAACATGTTATGTAACCAAAATGCATTGAATCACTATGCCTAGCCCCACTACTAATAATATCATAACCTAGCTCATGAAAGTCATCTAAGTTTAGTTCTTTTGCCTAGCAATAAGACACGAGAAAGATAAAAAAGAAAAAGGAAATCATGAAATCAAACTTACAGTTTGTCAATTCCTAGCACCTCAAAGAGCCCACTTTTCCTTTTTTTTTTTTCTTTTTTTCTTGGAAGATACAGAAGACTATTCAATATTGGGAAGAAATGGAAGAATGAAAGAAAGGACAATTATCAAGCAAACCAATAATCATAACATATATTCACAGATTTTCACATTGAAAAATAATAGCCACGCTAATAACCAGTACAAGCAGTAAAACTTTATATTCACTTGCACAATAATTATGTCACCTTTTTTTGGAAAAACATGGAATTGCACTGAACATAGTGGAAAGTCCATAAGAATAGAGTATGGAATCAGGGATCCCGAAAATCTTTGCTATTCTAGCTTCACAATCAAGGTGGACATATGAACAAATGAAGTTGTCCATGAAAGATTTTGAAAGAAATAATTAACATGGTACATCAAAAAGTATGTTAACTTTACCAATTGTTCCATAGATTCCACAAGGACCACAGGAACCGACACCGTACTTCTCCAAAGCAGAAGTACATGATTCTTGGTGTAACAAATTTGAATAAATGCTATGTTTCGTTAATCCAATACATTAAAAAATAAACAAATAATCAGGATAGGTTATCTCACATGTAGCTTCTTATATCCTACAAACCAAAGATAGCTTGTTGAAGCAAAGTTGACAACTTCTTTACCATTGATTATTGTATAGGGCATGTACCACTGCATAAAGAGCATCTCTTTAGCTTCGGACGCATTTACAAGTAATTTGGTTAGAAATACTAATATTTATGTAAAATATCAAAGTCGATATAGTATTTAGTTATGACTAATGGTCATATACAAAAGAAAAAGACAACACAAGGCAATACAATAATTACAACGATTAAGATTCAAAAAGGTTAAATGCAAGAACGAGAAAAGGGAAAAACCAGTTTGATCTGGGAAGTACATTAATAAATGAAGGCCAATAAATTTGCAAGTATCATATGCTATACAAAATATGTAAATATAACAATTATCTTCATCTTTTCAACACTTGGGGCATCTTTCTGCATTTCTTCTATAATGGGAGGAATACGAGATTCTGGTTGCTTAGTAAATGGGGATTAGACACAAGACCCTTGTTAGCTTTTCATGTCAAATAGTGACTTAAAATATTAGTATGCAAAGCACTTTAAGTTTATGATTTGTTGAGTAACTGGACACTTGCATCACAAATATTATTATTTGGATTAAAAGATAAGTGATGGCTTTGGAAAGAAAGTGTTGCATGGCTTAAAAAATAAAGAGAAAATAGTAAAAAAAAAAGGAAAAATAAATAGAAAATAGAATGAGAAAAAAAGGGCAATTACATGGTATGATTGTTACATGTTTGTATAAACTTATTTAGATGTGCACATGGATATGAGAGTGATAGTTATGAAATGATTGAATCCCTTGCTTGATATTATTGAACTCTGAATTAAAAATAATCAAGTTTGAATATTGATAATGCTTGTTTCATTTGTGGCATGGGGAATGTGCTTGCACTTTGTTTCTTCTAGCTTTCTTTTGGCTTGAGGACAAACAAGAGTTTAAGTTTAGGGGTATTTGATAAGTTTAAATTATATATATATTTATACACCTTTTTTGGTCTAGAAATTAATTTTTATATGTTCTTTATAACTTAGCCTCACTTAAATTTAATCAATTTCATTATTTTATAGATGAGGATTAAAGAACAAATTTAATGAAAATTAATTCTTCAACCAATGGTAGTTTTAAGCATGCAATGGTATTTCTGCTATAACTTTCTTTCCAAACATTGGATAGAGGTGATTCCTAAGGCATGGGTAAGCTGAGAAATAGAGTTACAATTCAGCTTTTACAAACTTAACCCAGTTCATTCATATTCAAGTTGTAATTCCAGTCGGGATTTTCAGTTCTAGCATAGTAAGTGCTGGACAGATTGACGAAAGAGAACCCAAGCTTATTGGCTTTCATTTTATTCAGATCAAGGGATTAAAAGTTGTGGGCTAGCAGTAATTGAAGCCCACATATCTAGAATTCTTAAAAGAATAATGGGTTAAAAGAAAAGACGTTTGCAGAAGGAATACATACACCGACTTCACTCTCGGTGTCCCTTTCTCAGCCTCTTTGATTTATTTTCTTTGGCAGCCTTATTTTAAAAAACCAGTAAGCGGGGGTAAGCAAGAGAACAGTAGTAGTAACTCAAGTTTGAGTAAAAAAAACCCAAGCACAATTCTGCTTACTCTTATTCTGGATTGATTTTCTCATTCATACTTGTTAAATTTTCAGTGTCTCTTTGCCAAATTTCTTCTTTATTTTTTATGGCTATTCTAAACTTGATTATGAATGGCTAAATTACATGAATTAAGGTTAAATATAGTTTAATATTTAGATCATGTCATTTATTTTAATTTAATTTAAGATCCCCGTATTATTTACATGAAGAATTTATTTTATTGAACTTAATATTTTAAAAGTTTGATTACCTTTTTATTGATCTAGTAATTTATGCATGAACTTAATAATGAATTGTATGAATTAGACTAATAAAAATATCAATCATGTGTTAGACTATGAAACCAAGGGATAATTAGCATCACATGTGATAATGGAGGAAGAAAATTTAAGAGCTCTCCTTTTATTAAGCTAGAGGTTTATAAAATTTAATGCCCGTCAATTTGTTTTAATTACATAAAGATATGATTAATTTAACAAATAAGGAAAATATTAACTTAATTTGAGAAAGATAGTTAATTAATTGAGGGAGATTTGTCATCTCGTGCGATGGCATTATTATTTGGTCTTGGATTAAATTAATTAATTGGTTACATAATTTAGATTAATTGAAATTTAAACCCTAGTTTCTTTTCATCCATGATTTTCCTTAGAAAATTCCTTTATATTAAGTAGTTTACTTTATTCAATTGATCGATTAATTCAACTTAGACTAGATTAATATCATTTGAGAAGTATAGTGTAGTCTTTAAGGGAATGATAACTTGTTCATCTTATATTAATTAGGTTCATTTGTCTAGGAGTAGTGAGTATTTTATGCTTCAAGGAGATTTGTAACTTTTCTTGGAAAGCAAGAAAAGGATGACCACCAAAAAAAGGACCTCAACAAACAATTGTCCTAAAACCAAAGATCTAAAAGTTTGAGCTAATTAAATCTTCGTCCTGAAAGGAAAAAAGACACGATAAGCCTTTAAGATGAAAAGATACCTCCAATGTGCACACCAAACACAATAGCTTCAGCAAAGGGAGCATTTAAAGCTAATTATACTTTATTTACGATTGCATTAACTGTGGTTAAAGTAGCTAATACCAAAGTCTTTGATATCACAATTAGGTCAGTTAGGACAATTTAAGCATCAACTAAGAAGAATCAATATCTCATGCAGTCTTGTGGATATTTGTGTATCATATACAAACATGCAACTGATAACAGTAGATATATATCATTTGTAGTAAAAATGTAACAAATATTATAAAAAGATATATATAACATTTTGACCCACCTAAAAATAAAGAGTTAGAAGACTAGATGCTTATATAACCAATTAGAAAAACACAGGCTAATTAACAAATAAATCATACAACTTTAGACAAATTGTTAAGCACTTCAACACCTTGCCAATGTATTTGCAAAGGCTTTTCTACAAAAATATTTGTATAACCTAAGATTTGCCAACAAAGAATGATTCAAATTCAATACATTTTGATAGTTATGTATTCAAGGGGTGTCAATAACAATAAGCAAAAAAACTCAAATAAGGTGAGGCTATATTAAAAAAACTAAACTCCAAAAGAAGAAAAAATGGATAAAAACTAGCTTTGCTTATAAAAACAAAAGGAAAATCATTTCTTGCAAATGACTCTAGATTTCACATCAGTAAAATTAACAATCCCAAATTTAAAAAATAAACAATAAAAATAAAAATAAAATCAAAGATAAAAACACCAACTCTAAAATTTCTAACTAATGTCAACCTCACAACTATATAATTCAATTAGCACTCCAATAGGTAAGATTGATAAGTTTCATAATACATAACAATGAAATTAGGGTAACAAGTGAGGGTGGACCTTTGGTTTTTCGATTCCCAACCAAACCAAAGTTAACAATAATCAAAGTAATTCAATTATAAAATTTGGCTATTGTCTATTGGATTGATTAGTATTTGAGTATTCATTTTGATTATTATTGTAATTTGTTGTTTGCTTGTGACAAACTATACCTAAACCATTCAACCAAATACATATTTCGGTTATAGTTATAGTTTTGTTAGAATATTTTTTAACCAAAATTTTGTAACTAACTGCTTTTTTTTTTTCCTTTTTTTTTCTTTTTTTGCTTTTTACCTTGTGAATTTTTAATAGATTTCAAAATCATAAACAAGAATATTTAATTAAAATGCCTACCATTGACAGATATATTGAAAGATGGCTATGTTTTGTATTTAAATACAAAGAACATAGAGGAAGAAAATAAATATATATTCCAAAACCTAAGAATAAATAATAGATTTTGTTAATCAATAACTAATTCAAAATAAATAGCAACTAATAGCTATATAAGATAATTATATGACAAATAACACACTATAAATCTATAATAAACAATCCATGATTGATCATTTATTTTCATTTTTCATTAACTTGGTTAGTGTAAGTGCTAGTGCCACACGATGCACCAACTATGCACCACTCTTAGGCAAATGAACCTAATCAATTATGCAGTATAAAAAGTAAGATATTGTTCCCTCAAAGATTATTCTACACAACCAAGGAATTTTTTAAGTAAAAGGAACTATGAATGAGGAACTAGGGTTTACATTTCATTTAATTTTGAATTATGTAACTATTTAATTAATTTAATTCAAGTTCAAATAACAATATTGTCGCATGAGATGGCAGGTTTCCCTCAATTAATTAACTGGCTTTTTCAATTGAAGTTAATCTTTCCTTTACTTGTTAAATTAATGATATCACTATATAATTTAAAACAAACTAGTAAGCATTAAATTCTATAGAAACCTCTAACTTAAAAAGAGGGAGCTCGTAACTCTCTTCTCTTCCTTCACTATCACATGTAAC